GGCGGCGACGGCTCCCCGTGGTCCACCAGCCCCCTGGGCCAGCCGGACATCAAGCCCTCGGTGGTAGTGCAGCAGGGCGGCCGCGGAGACGAGCTGCACGGGCCAGGCGCCCTGCAGCAGCAGCACCAGCAGCAGCAACAGCAGCAGCAGCAGCAACAGCAGCAGCAGCAGCAGCAGCAGCAGCAGCGGCCACCGCATCTGGTGCACCACGCCGCCAACCACCACCCCGGGCCCGGGGCATGGCGGAGCGCGGCGGCTGCAGCGCACCTGCCGCCCTCCATGGGAGCGTCCAACGGCGGCTTGCTCTACTCACAGCCCAGCTTCACCGTGAACGGCATGCTGGGCGCCGGTGGGCAGCCGGCCGGGCTGCACCACCACGGCCTGCGGGACGCGCACGACGAGCCGCATCATGCCGACCACCACCCGCACCCGCACTCGCACCCACACCAGCAGCCGCCGCCGCCACCGCCCCCACAAGGCCCGCCGGGCCACCCGGGCGCGCACCACGACCCGCACTCAGACGAGGACACGCCGACCTCGGACGACCTGGAGCAGTTCGCCAAGCAGTTCAAGCAGAGGCGGATCAAACTGGGATTTACCCAAGCAGACGTGGGGCTGGCGCTGGGCACCCTGTACGGTAATGTGTTCTCGCAAACCACCATCTGCAGGTTTGAGGCCCTGCAGCTGAGCTTCAAGAACATGTGCAAGCTGAAGCCTTTGTTGAACAAGTGGTTGGAGGAGGCAGACTCGTCCTCGGGCAGCCCTACGAGCATAGACAAGATCGCAGCGCAGGGGCGCAAGCGGAAAAAGCGGACCTCCATCGAGGTGAGCGTCAAGGGGGCTCTGGAGAGCCATTTCCTCAAATGCCCCAAGCCCTCGGCCCAGGAGATCACCTCCCTCGCGGACAGCTTACAGCTGGAGAAGGAGGTGGTGAGAGTTTGGTTTTGTAACAGGAGACAGAAAGAGAAAAGGATGACCCCTCCCGGAGGGACTCTGCCGGGCGCCGAGGATGTGTACGGGGGGAGTAGGGACACGCCACCACACCACGGGGTGCAGACGCCCGTCCAGTGAACTCCGCGGGGGGAGGGGCAGAGCGCGGGGCTCCCCTCCCCTTGCGTCCAAGGTCCTTGCCCGGACCACTGTTCCCTCTCTAACTTCTGATTGTTCTTTTATTTTTAATTATTATTTCCCCGTCCCTTAAAAAGAAAAAAAAATGAGAAAGAAAAGCAACTATGACACTGGACTATCCTATAAACGGTAGCAGATGTAATGATGTTTTGACCTTTGCAGGCGAGTACCCAGGCAATGAAGTAGAGTGTCTCCTGAAGAGAGTGAGGTCTGTGTGTGTGTGTGTGTGTGTGTGTGTGTGTGTGTGTGTGTGTGTGTGAAAAAGAGAGTGAGAGAGAAAGAGAGAGAGAGATGGCAAGCACTGAGATAAATACCTGGCAAAACTAAATAAATGACCAAAAAGAAAAAAAAATTCACCAAACCGTGATAAACACAAAACTGCAGCTCCTGATGCTCGAATTTGGCACATGCTGCTGTGTTTATTTAATGTGGATCCCCATCAGGAAAGAGGGAAAAAAATACACACATTCTTTGAATATAGGCAAAATTTAACCACACAGATTTGCACTGCAGGAAAATAGAAGTTTACATGAACAAATTCATAAACATATTTTCTCTTGATGCCCACCGTTAATTTTGAAATTGCCATTTGGGGTTTTGTTTTGTTTTGCTTTACTCAGCAGGGAGAATTGAAGCCAGCTCTTGGCTGCTCTCCATGTCTAATGCTCTTCTTGTGTTGCCCCTTGTTCTTAATGTGTGTGAACTTTGCTTACCTTCAAATGCCCCTTGCATTGGTGGAAGACTTACTTGCTCCTTTGACCAAAGCAAGACGATTGGCTTCATACAAAATAAATTATTTGCTTTCAGGAAATGTGTATGGTCTACCCGCTTTATCCAAGGCAAGAATCGAGTTTAAAACAGAAAAATAAGAGTCAAGCATTGGTTTTTGTTACTACCCACAAAGTAAACTTCATTTTCAGGCAGTGTTTCTGGGGGGGAGGTTTTAGAGGGAGAAAAAGAAAAATCGATAGTGAGTGACTGACTACTTCATTTTTTCAGGCGAGCCCATTGTGAAAGAGCTCAGAGGAAATGTGGAGGTTAAATATATTTCCAGAGTTGTCCAACCGAAAGAAAGTGACACTTTGATGAGAACTAGGGAAATATGTATCTTCAGATATTGCTGTATAGTTCTCTGCCTTTAGGTTTAATAACTTAATATGAGGAATTATTTGTGCTGACAGCAGTGGTTAAAGTTTTTCCTCTAATAGTTTTTTTCCCCCAACATAAAGAAAATAACCCAGGAACTTGATGTGTAGACCATGTTTCTTAGCACACAGATACCCACATGCATCCATAGGCAGTAGTCTGGTTTTGTCTTCACTAGTTCATTTGTTTATCAAGTCATGTGTAGGATCTCACACTAGTATCTTCTCCCATAATTTATTACAGAAAATATCAGTTTGACTTGAACAGCTTTCCCCCCTCCCTTCTTTCACTAAGGAAGCCAAATGAAGTGGAAAAAAATGCCATTTTCAATCCTTCTTTCTCCCCTTTGTTAATAGTTTTAAGTGCATTTTTGACCTTATCTTGATGGAAAACGGTTGACTTCCAACACAATAGACTCTGCTGAGAAGTGTAGGTGGAAAATTAAAAAAAAAAACTTGTAACTATTGAAAATAAATACCATTAAACTGTGACAAGTTAAAATTTTAAAAATCAGAATCAGCACAAAGGGCGCTAAAAGGGAAGACATGTCTTATTAACCTTAAAACTTTGGGGCTTTTTTTTCTTGGTTAGGTATTAGATAAATGTTTATTTTAAAGAAGTAAATTCTCACATCCATGAAATTATGGTTCAGCATCAGATTAGCATTGCACTTAGTAGTTAAGGTTTTAGGGAATATGCTTTATACAGTATTGTCTTTTCAAACACCTGTGATTGTTTCATTTTCAATGTTTTTGCAAGATAAATGGTGACTTATTATGGGCATATTTATTTGCCTGTGTTTCATTTCCCCCAATGAATGTGATAAGAAGATGGGCATGGAGCATCCCATTGCTTGTCCCTGAGGTGTAGGGACTGGCCTTTAGTGAAGCAATCGAGAGCAGGGCAAAGAGCCAATGGTAAAGGGCGGAAATGAATTTTCAGATGCTTATTATCAAGTAGGTAAGGTCAGAAGCTGGAGTGCAGGGGAGTGTGTCTACAGCTCCTCTAGCTCCCACAGGTTTACTAGGATGAAGTTACCGCTGAACCTTACCACTATGTATATATGTTTAATATCTGTCTTTTGAAATGCAGAAATAGTTTAAATGTTTCTTTGTCTATTTTTCTTTTTTTTAATGCTACCCAGGGAAATATTTTCATATCATTTTTAAGTGGCCTGCCTCAATGTATATTTATTTCTTTTGAAGCAAAAAAGGTTCTGGAAACTGTTTTTCTGTAGCTTTAAATGAGTAGATGAGCAAAAACTATATGGGATGTAATTTTTTGTTCAGTCAATTTAAAAATACTTTGTTTTGGTACATTTGGTTGTGCTTGTGGGGAAAATAAAAACGCAGAGATCCTTATATATTTATGTTAAAGTAATATTTTATTATTACATAAAACAGAAATGCACAATACCTTCATAGTTTGTTCTAATTATTGAAATCTTTATTTTATTTTTAAAGATAGTGCCAAGTTTTAAGGGGGGAAAGAAACTCTAGACCTTATACTGACTGATTGAGTTGTGTGTAAAACACTTCCCTTCCTTTATACTTCATAAAGTTTTGGAATAAATTTTATGCATATACTGCCAGGTTTCATGTTTATAACTTTCAGAGGCTTTTTTTTTTTATGTAGCCTACTGTTCTGATTTACTTTTCCTTGCAAAAAACTGTCATCAGTTCCAGATCTATCAGTTCCATATTTTTCAGTACTATGGTTGTAGCATTAAATCCAAACAATCATTGGGTTTGAGCTTCAAAATTGTTTGCACCTCATGGTCCAACAAAGAGATGTTTGCCTTGTAAAAATATGCAGATATCCCTACATCTTCTTTCCATGTTAGCTGTACCTTATCCAACTGGGCTGTTGGGGGGACCATCAGTGGAACTGGTGGACTTTAATCTCTACCCACATGTCCTCACATAATTTGGGATCTGCAGAAAAGTGGGCTTAGTTAGGTAATTATTCTTCATAATTAACAAATAACTTTTGACCAAAAATACCCTGACAATATGTCATATGTGTGTTTGCCAAATGATTAGGAATAGATCCTGTATCCTATTACTGTTAGGTTTATAGAAAATGATTTTGCAAATATTTTTTACAATACTGTCTATTTCTGATCAGGTAACAAAAAAAAAAAAAGCTCTAAAACAAAAAAGGGGAAGGGGATCTATGGGAGAGACTCAAGCCATAATGAAAAGAGCAGATTGTTTCAGACAATCTTAGGTGAAACACTACACTTACCAAAATCAGTTTCAAGGTTAGTGAGAATCCCAAAAAGTGTTGGATTACTTTGCATGCTTGCTAATGTATTTAAAGTCCTCCTTGGAACATTGGTTTAAGTATAAATGTCCATTTAGAAAGGTAGTTTCTGGGCTTATTACATCTGATCATCTTTTCTAACTCCTAGTCAATATTACATGGGTCCCAAACAGATTCAGTCAAATGATCTTATCAATAGTCTGAACAAGAAGTGACAGAAAGAAGAAGTGTTTTGTGACCACAGACATGCTGATGGGTAAAATGTTTAAGCTATGTATAGATTTGAGTTCTGGGTCAATATCCCTTCACTACAGGCAGAAGACAAGCAGCATCTGCCCTCTGCAGGGCATTTCAGTGGACCTGGAGAAGGCATTTTTGTTCAGAGCCACAGGGACTACTGACTGGAAAACATCACATGCTAAACAGACATACCATGGTCTTGACCCATGCTTGCCATTCAGATCCTAAAGCTACTCAGATAGTTTCCATGCCAGTTTTGGAATGTATTACACACCATAGTTAAAAAAAATCACAGCTACTGGGAGAAATCTATGGGCAGTCATCCCCAAAATACTGACTTAGCCACAAACAAACCCTTTCTTTCCTCCCTAAAGACAAGAAAGTAGAATATAGCCATCCCGACAGAGCTTTCATGTTTCTTCAAAAAAATGTCATGTTTTAGATTTATGGTATAAGATGAGGAAGAAATGATCATGTGGGAAAGAGTTATCTGAAGGTCATATGAAGGGAATGGCCACAAATAATATTAAGCTTGGCATTTCTAAACACTCTCGGTTCCCACGAAGTAACCTCCTTTATATTTTTGATGGCAGCAACAAAAGTGCTCTTCTTTTCTCCTTCCCCTCCTGCTCCTACCAGGGGAGGCCACACACTGTTTGGCAAAAATTTCTGGTGAAATGGCTTTGATAAAGGCACTCATCTTTCTATCTTCTTAGCTCTTCAAAAACAACTAATAAAAAGATGCAACAGCAGCAGTGGGGGGAAGGGTGGCATTTGGAGGCATTGGTACATGCACAGTAGGCTGCATTCACTTGCTTTTTATTTTTCTTATTCTGGAAGCATCTTAGATAGTGCTGGGGAGCAGGGTGAAATTATCTTTTCGATCACTCTTCTCTGTGATTTGTTTTTGTTGATTTTTCAATGAATTCATGAAACTGTTTTATATTCTATTGAATTTCTATACAAGTCAAAGAATGAGGTAAAGAATAGGGCTTGTACAGGAAAAGAGGAGGATGGTGAAGTGAGGGTTTCTTTGGGTCTGCTTGTATATTTCAGTGGGTGAAGCAAAGGGACAGTGCTTAAAATGAAAGGGAAAGATGCATCTGGAAGTTCTATGATAATATGACTAAATAAGATGTACAGCTAAGTTTTATATAAATATTTTCCCAGTTCAGGAAAGTTTACTTTTTTAATGATTCATAGTCACTTAATAAAGGACAAATGGTAGGAGAGAACCAGGGCTTCTGAAACCTATTTCCACTACTTGATTCAGGATGGGAAACAATGTAAAAGTGGCCTGCCACCCAGCTAGCAAATCATGGAATCAACTAACCCACATTTGCAGAACTTGGGCAGTGTTTTTTCAATGCCCACTTATCTAGTGATGAGCACTGGAGTGCCAGAAAGTGGCTTTTTAGTTAGTTA